TTTTTGCATACGCGTACGCCACCCGATTGTGGGATTCCATAAACCCACCAAATTGTCACTCCCACACAAGGGTGTAAATGAGCCAAGCTTGAGCGAGCCTCGGGCTTCTTGTGTTCAGCTCATTCAAATTTCTTTTTGTTCATTTTGACTCATGTTCCAAATTGCTCGTGAATTGTCTATTCATGTACAACTCGATTAAAACTCATTTGTTCGAATTAAACTCATGTTCAGCTCCAAATAACAATTTATTAAAATTAATAATTCAAATTACATATTTAACTATAAAAATTATTTTTTTATTTTAATACTCTCCTAAAAGAGATTGAAACCCAATTTCTGCTTCTACAGGACCAAAATTGTGTCGAGTGTGATAGCTTCTCTGAGCAACTGCGGTTCTTTTTTAAGGAGAACCATTTAAGTATTCATTCATTTATTCCCGATGTGGGATTAAACGCAGTAGAAGGGAGGGTGGAACCACGGGGCAACCCGATAAGAGGGAAGGCGAGAGCGAGATCGTGAGAAAGCTGAACAGGAAGGAAGACGTGAGCAAAACGGTCAGGCAAGAGGGAAGGCGAGAGCGAGATCCGTGGGAGCAATTTTTTTTAGGCATTTACAAACAAACCACCCAATTCTTATGCATTTACGTAATTTTGGTAGAAGCGAGGAGCAGGAGCTATCTACTGCTGACACTTCTAAAAATGTGTCATACCCGTGTCGGACACGCATCGGACACCGACACTTGTTTGACACATCTGACACTACAAAATATGTCTAAATTTTTTTCAGACCCGAACATTTCTGAGACACCTCAGCACTGCATCGAACGTGAGCTTAACACTATTTTGAGAAAATGGGACACATGAATCAGAAAATTATAAATATACTTACAGACCTCATTATACCTTATAGTCAAAACCGCTCTATCTCTTGTCATGTTGAAACGCTCTAACATTCGTCAAAATTAAGTATCAAAGATGCATCCAATATTTGTCGAAGCCAAACATTAGTAATTTTCTCTTTGCAATCATAGTAATTTTTTTTACTGCATACATACAACCCAAATCTTATGTATTTACATATCCATCCATCTATATATATATATATATATATATTTGGTCGGACATCTGCTTGTCAGTTGTAAATCCCCTCTGGTTTGGGGTGTGATACTCAAATTATTAGGTGCAAGAGGGGTGGTCGGGGCTCGTATCATAGCCTCCGACCATTCCTTTGAAGGAAAAATAAAGATATATATATATATATATATACATATGAATTTAGCCATTGCATGTACATTTTAGTGGATTTCTCAGAACTGCTATAGTAACATGATTAATTAAGTTAATTTTATAATTATTAAAGTTTATTTGAGTGTTATGTTAAATTTTTATATTTCCAATTATATCTAGAATATATATGTAGTTTTATATATCAAATTGATCGATTTGAGATGTAGAATTTTATAAAATTGATTTGTTTAGATTTCAGGGAATGCAAAAAATGGGCACATTTTACAATTGCCAAAAATTTTTCTGTTTTCTGACAATTGGGTATTACATCACAATTGTAGTAGATGGAGACCTATGGCTTTGAGAACATAGAATCTAACTTCTACAATAGCAAGGAAGAAAAATTAAGGGACGGGAGACAACAAATATATTGGGAAAATTAAAAAGAAAATTTTCATTTAAACAAATTTAGCTTTAATATAATACTCTTCTTGGGTCTGTATTCATAAAACAAACAGAGAAAATTCTAATAAGCTTCAAATTTTAAGTCAAATGATAAAAATTTTAAAAATATATAAGAACGAGCAACATACCACAAAATCTAATAACTACATCCACAGAAATAATATGTGCACATACAAATCAACAACCTCTCTAAAAGTAACAAATTCCTAAAATTCAATAAAAACATTGAAAAAAAAACTAGATATATGTAAGAGATTTAAATAAATCCTGAGAACACTACTACATTTGTCAAAGCTCAGGTGCTGCTCCAATTGATTTTTATTGTTAGTTTTCTTTTCCTTGATTCTTCTTCAAAAGCCATTTTTGAAATAACATTTTGATTTCTCTCGTTAAAGCATAACCAACCCAGCATTAGTTCTACTTAGATTTTTTTAAAGTTGTTGGCAGACTTGTTGATGACCTAGGAATCTCCGAAAAAGGCATTGAGATCCATTGGGTCATCTTTAGATATTTACTGCTAAATCAACCTCTTAAAAATTCTCAACTGGTCAAATTTAAATAAAAGATAACTCCTACTCACCCAATAAACTCCCCATCTCAAAATTCATAAACCAAATAACCTAAGCTTATTGGTTATCATTCTACTTTCTCATTTATATTGAACAGTTGTATGTCTTTTTCCCCCCATTTTTTGAAAATGACCAAAGTAAACCCGCACTTTTTTTAAGAATCGTAATAATTTCTTATATCTTCACGTTGAGCTACAATCTTTATCTATTATAATAAAAAAATTGAACAATTGATCTTTTGAGTAATATTCTTTATCAACAAAAAATCATGAAAACCATTTGTAAATCTAGAGATTATCTAGAAACACGGATTAGTGGTTATGTAAACTAATATAATCATAAAAACTTCCTGTCAATCTATAGTTATTCACCGCATATCCTTTTGAAAGATTTTAAGCTTCTTTGCATTTATGCAAGTATGTAACATGTTTTTTCCACTATTCATTGATCATACACATGGGTTGTATGATTCCTATGTTAATGGAACTATCATGTATAAAGAAAGTCTGAAAGCTACCATGAGTTTATTTTTGAAGCTATCATGAGGATAAAATGAAGGATAATGCATCTTCATTTTTTTTTATTTTACATTCTACTTGCATTCTATCTAAACGATACTACGTTCAAAACTACTCAAAGTTAATTTATTAAAAAGCGAGGACCTCCCGGATGCTTATTTCACCTGTCGAATTATTACTCTTTGAACAATGAGGACATTTTTATTAGTTGAACATTGAGGATCAGTTTCTTAATAATTCAAACTTTTAGGGAGCGTCAGGGATCATTTTATTATTATTATTATTTTGATTTGTTTATATTTTATCTTGAAACAAAATATATTTGATGTGTAAATAAAATAAGAATATTTTTAAAAATACTTAAAATATCTAAATTTTGTTTTTTAAGTATTTTTAAAAACAGGCTACCTTGTTTAAAAAAAAAATAAAAATATCTAAAAAACACACTAAACAATAAAATTTAAGATAAAAATAAAAAAAAACCAAAAGTGATCCAAAATAAACCATTAGGGTGTTGATTCATTCATATGCATTTTATGAAGAAAGAAGTCAAAATGATCCATAGGCCATTGGAATGGCACTATCTTAGTCACACTCTCTAAATAAGTTCAAATAAAGCCCATTGAATCCTCAAATATGATACGAAATAATTTCTCTGTTATTTTGTTTTGGATTGGATTTGTAGAGTTAAAAAAGTATTATAAATCAGATTTGGGGGAATCAAAATACTAAATTGAGCACGTTGGATAACCTAGGATTAAAATAGCCCCACAAATAATTCAGGAATAATTTTCACATTTTTCTTATAATTTATGTCTTCCCAAAAGTAGCTAGAGAATCTACTCTAACATTACTACTTTCAAATTAGCTTGCAACCCACCACTTTATACAGAATCATCCTCTTCTTACCAAAGATACACAACCAACCATATTATGATTCACGCCTAACAGGATGCATCATACAGTCAAATGTCATAGATGTATTTTCAACACAACTCATTTAAGGCACAATCCAAGAAAATCGATTGTGTTACGTAGACAATGGAGTTCAGTACTTTGTTTCTAGGGCTATTTTTATGTTTTCATCCTTCAACTTAAAAGTCATTTCACCACTTAATTTGAGTCATTGAATATCAATGAAAAGCCATGGTTAAATTGCTTTTATGATTATTTTACTTGTTTGTTTTTTGAATAATACTCTATAAAAAGAATACTTAGGAGGAATTTACGACATTGTTAGATGATGAATTCTTTTTTCTATATGTGATTTCCTTGTTCATGCGTGAAGCTTAAAACTCTACCAAGATGTGATGTTTTTATTAAAGTGAATAACTTCAGATATCATCCTTGCAAAAAAAAAGCACTAAAAGACAAAATACTTGACAACAATGGAAATCAATAGATAATATGTGCCAATGACAAGTGACTGTGAGAAAACACATAAGTAAATGCCATGACCTTGTTTTTCAAGCAATGAAATATATCCTTATGGATTATTTCATGAAAGATACATTTGATTAGGGGTTTGCAGAACAACATTTTTATTACAAAAGAACACACTAAGAGATAGTTGACATTAGTGAAGTTAAAATATTCCACTATGACAATAAAAATATGCTCTAAATTATAAAAAACACAAATTTTCATTCATCAAGTACTGCATTGACATTACAATTATCTTCCATTTATAACAGTTCACATATCTCTCTCCTACCTAATTTTTAAATAGATAGCAAGCTAATTATTTCTCTCCAACAAAGGATAAATTATTAGAAATAATTAAGAATTTTCAGCATAGCAGACAAGCATCAAGACTTTCAAAAACCTTTTGGCTTCCCTTATTAAAACAACAAACAATCACTATTTATCAAGAAAAAAATTCTTAAGTTGTAAATATTTAAAATTTGACAAAATATTCAACGATTATTGCATTGCATTTTTAACTCCAAATGTTATTATGAATGAATTAACAAGCACTACAGGTTTTCTATGAGAAAAAAGAAACATTAGAGTCTCAAAACTTCTAATTTTTTCACCAGTAATGTGAAACTTGAAAACCTTAGCATGATGACATGGAAACGAACAAAACATCCCCAACTAGTTAAAATAATAAATAATAAAAACAACAAATTCTTGACATCTGCAAGAATAATAAAATGCTTTCTAAGATTGGATAAACTTCAATATGAACATTGCAAGATCTGTGATGATTAATGACTTACTTGACTGAGTGAACTATAATTATCACCAATCTTGGAATACTTCTTCTGTAGCCTGTATGCAGTTCTAGGCTGATCATAGTTGACAGGATTCAAAGGGTGCTGCGGAGTTTTGTACGATGTTGTATGGGAGTAATCATTTGATCTTTGGAATAAACTACGCAATGTTGAACCACCTCCTCCCATAGAAAAAGACAAATTCTAGTTGATAAAAAAATATGAATCTATCAGACCGAGCATGATCGGTGCAGAGCCTAAATCAGTTATTTCTATAGGTCAATCAACAGAAATAAAAAGCATACATTTTATTAAGGAAATTATAGAAAGAAAGCAAGAATTTGTACAATATCAAAACCCAGAAAATGAAAACAAAGCAAGAAATTAAGTTTTTTACAAAAGAACAACAAAAAAGATGCTAAAAAAAGTAGGTTGCTTCACCTAACCAATTTAAGAGATAATTCTGAAATAAATGTTGCAAACAAGATTTTAATATGTTCAAGGACTTCGAAATGAAACGTGAAACAAAGGAATAAACAGCAAATGGCATGTGACAGCTAAATATGCAGCATCAACATCATAACTGCGGTGCCCGAAAAACAACTTTAAGAAATAAACTAGCAAATTCAGGCAAGATAGATTGTAATGACAAAATAAAAATGACAAAATAAATCAAAATCAAACAATAAATTTCTATGTGCTTAAAAACAAATAAATTATGACACAAGCCAAAGTATAAATTCCACAACATTTGTAAAACAATTTCATGATTTCATTCTTAATTTTTTAAGAAAATTTCAATAATAAATGAAAACTATGAGAAAAAGAGAAGAACCACCAAAGTCTTTCTTCAAACCAACTTCAACAAGCCAATCTTTTGATGAGTTATTGAGATTAATCCAATACTCAGCTATAAATCAGAGTTCAAACCAAACATACCAGAACGAGAAATGTTCAAACATCAAACCGAACAGCATTC